AAATTAATAAAGTATTTATAGCCGAACCGATACCCGTAGCTTCTGACACCCATTTTGACCATGATAATAGCCGAGTTTCTTTTAACGCGTACATATATGAGCAAATCTCACGAGGTGTCACATTTTTCGACAAAAACATGTTTTGGTCGAAAATGGTAGGTCGCCTGTCTTAGAAAATACATTATCTTCAAAGAACAAGATTCCTTCATGAAATTGTATTTAAATGAAAACTTAAAAGATTTACTAAAAAAAAAGTAAAAATAATCACTCATGCTCATATACCCGGGTAGTTGCGTGTGTAACGTATACACTCCGTAGCAGCAAACGTAGTCATCTATTTAACACATTTAGTCGCACGCCTTAATTTAAAAGTAAAATTACATTATGGGACAAAATCAAACATGTTAGCTAGGTATTGAGTAAACCCAAATGTAAGTGATAGTTTTGGATGTCAATAATACTACGGTATGGGTTTTTCGAGGTTAACTCAAATAAGGAAGATATCCTTAATATCCATACTACTTTATGGGTTTTTCGAGATTAGCTTAAATAGGGCAAATATCCTTAATTGAATCCTTCTAAACAATTTCTTGTTTAATTTGGTTGAGTTATTGAAAACTATCCTTAGAAAATACTTATATAATGGTTTTTCGATACGAGGAATTCATTTTGGAAGCTCGTTTATTATTAGCTCTGCGCTAGATGGCGTTGTAGACAAATTTTAATGAATGATCGTATTTTTCAATCAAATACTAAATAAAATACTTTACTAAAAAATTCAGCTTCGATGTGATTTCTAACACCGCAATTAATATTTTAATGGATTTGTTTTTTTCTTTTGTCTACTTTTTCTTCAAACTTTTCTTCTTTTTTGATTTTTACTTTAATTTTCAAAATCATTGTACATATCATTGGCATATGAAAAATTTACAAAGTTATTGCTTGTATTTACGTTATCAGCTGTAGCCATTATCCACCAACAAACATCCAACAATAAAGTTGATATTTTCTTTCAAAATGAATGGTTCCTCAAAATAGTTGTTCCCGCGATTTTCAGACCTTTAGAACTGTCAAATACCAAAATTACACCCTCAATAAAATAATTATGACGATGATTTTTAAAGCGAAATAAAAAACAAAGAAGGGGAAAGTTTGAAAAAATAGTAGACAAAAGAATAAAGTGAAATACAATAAATAGATTAATTTCTGTTCAAAACATTGTTGCGGTGTTTAAAATTGGTATTTGTAATACGAATAATGTAACTTTCTCATTGCAACTGATTTTTTTAAAGAGACCTCTAGTTTTAGTATTTATTTGAAAACACTCAATGAAATTCAATAAAATTGGCCTACAGCGCCATCTAACGCACTAATAAAAAAAGTAAGTGCGGCTGGGCCACACTGAAGAAGTGAAACTTACGTTACATACATATCTATTTTGTCTCATAACCAATATACATACATATCGCACGTTTAATAACCAAACTTCCCTAATATGGCAAAGATATGTGTCTTTCCATCTGTCTTTTTGTATACCAACTAAATGAATTGATAAAACTTTGATTGCATTTTCCCACAAAATTTATAATTTGAAATACTTCGTTATATTATTAAACGTGCGATATGTACATACACACATACATCTGCTTTTGCTTAAGGTTATGTTTTTTGTCTTTTTTCTTTCTAGATCCCTACCTCTACCCCTGTTCGTTCTAATTACATTTATGTTATTCTGTTTTTCTTTATCTTCATATTTATCTGTATACTCTTTCGATAACAAAATCGATAGTAACATCCAATAAAATGTCTATAACAAAATCGATGAAAAATTCGATAAAAATTTAGACAGCCAAATCGATAATAATATTGACAGCAAAATCTATTAGAAACTCGACAAAAATAACCATAACAAAATCGATAAAAATGTCGATAAAAATATCCATAACAAAATCGATAAAAATATCCATAACATAATCGATAAAAAAATCTATAAATATAGATAACAAAATCGATAAATACCGATAACAAAAACCGATAAATATCGATAACAAAATCGATAAAAATATCGAAAGCAAAATCGATAAATATCGATCAAAAAAACTTTAAAAACATCCATAAAAAAATTGATAACAAAATCGATAAAAATATCAATAACAAAATCGATAAAAAAATCTATAAATATAGATAACAAAATCGATAACAAAATCGATAAATACCGACAACAAAAATCGATAAATATCGTTAACAAAATCGATTAAAATATCCGTAACAAAATCGATAAATATGGATAATAAAATCGGTAAATATCGATAACAAAATCGCTAAAAATATCGCTAGCAAAATCGATAAATATCGATAAAAACTCTAAAAATATCGACATTTAAATCGATAATTATCGATAACAAAATCGATTAAAATAACCGTAACAAAATCGATAAATATCGATAGAGAAACCGATAAATATCGATAACAAAATCGATTAAAATGTCGATCATTATATCGATAATTACCGAAAATATCGATAGCAAAATTGATAACAATATCGATAAAAATTTCGATAAAAACATCGACAAAAACCGATACAAATATCGATTATTTTATCGATAAGTCCCGAGAGTTCCGAAAATCTCTAAAATCCCAAAATAGTTCCCCGATTGAATCTCTGTATCTCTCTCTATATCATTTTCTCTTTAATTACCTTTATTTTAATCTTTCTTCCCCTATATTCATCTTTACTTTTATCGGTATCCTCATATCCTCTTTGTCTTTACTGTTATGTTTATCATTTTCTTCATCTACATATTCCCCTTCACCTTTGCCCTTGTATATATAAGTAAAGTATTTAAAATTACCTTGATCTTAATTTTTGCCTTTATCTTTACGCATCTTTGCTTTTGTTTTTTTTTTGTACCTTTGCCTTTATCCTTTTCTTTATCTATGTACGTAGTCACCTTTACTTTCATTCTTGTATTGGTCTTTTTCTCTTCTTTAAGCTTTTATTAGCAAAGTTTTGTTAAATTAATACCATATGCATACACACAAGAAGTACTTGTTTCAGCCCCAACCATTTCCGTTGCATCATTTCCATTGCACCACTTCTGTTGCACCATTTCCGTTTCACAATTTCTGTTGCATCACTTCCATTGAACCATTTCCGTGTACAATTTCCGTTGAATTTGCCAATTTACTCCCAACCAACCAACCGCCGCTAAAGAAGTTTCACTTCAAAAAACTTCAAAAATGAATTCCTCGTATCAAAAACCTTTATATGAGTATTTTTTAAAAATGCTTTTCAAGAACTTAACCTAATCAAACAATAAATTGTGTGCAAGGATTCAGTCTAGGATATCTTCGATATTTGAGCTAAACTCGAAAAAAGCCATTACAGTAGTATTATCGACACCTAAAACTATCACTTGCATTTGGTTTTACTCAATACCGATTTGAGCTGTCTGAAAAGATTTTTACACAGTATTCCTAATGCACATTATGTATATTACATTAAATTTTAGAATGAATTTCGAGTGTGCCAATAAAAATTGTAAACATCATAGTCATCTTTTACTTAACGTATTTTTTTTTCATTTGGTGACACACTAGTTTTATTGCACTATAATCGTTCGTTTTTGCAAGAATGACATTTTCACTGTCCAATTTTAGCATTTAGAAGTATTTTAAATTATTATAATTAAAACATTTCAAAAATTACAAAATATTCTGCATGCTGCCATATTTTAATTTCGTGGTATACTCTTGAATTTTCACAGATATGTTGTATTAATGCCAACGTCCATTGCCTCTAATATGAACATTCTATTTGAAAACTTCCCAAAGTTATAAAAAAACAATAGATATTTTTTCGGTGGACAATGAAAAATTTAGCAATTTCGTTACTTTTTTGCTTACATAAATAGACGTACAAATAGATTGTACAAATACTTGATTTATTTCTTTATTTTACTTGTATCTGGAACTCCATTGATTGAAATAAATGCAATAAGAATGCTTTTGCTTTTTTCTGCAGAGAGAAAAAAAAACACTCTTCAGATTTGCTCATATATGTATGTATGTACAATGTCCATTACATATACGCTTAAAGATACATGCATCGGCAACTGCGTATAATAAACAAATGAAATACATTTTACCGACAACTATTTCTAGGCATTCATAAAACTTGGCGCTAAACCCTCCATACACGGATATGAGTACCTATATAGTAGAGTCTACTAAGTAACATAAAACGTACTCGGCTAATGATATACATACATACATGGTTCTTCGTACATTTCTCATAAAGGAATACAGTTTAGGAATTGTAAAGTTTAAACTAACTTCCAAAATTGAACGATTTAATTAAAAAATTGTGAAAGCATAAAATAATTCTGCTATTTTAAATTTAATAACAAGCGACCAATCAACACAAATAAATGGACTTATTTTCTCGTTTTGGCACTTCAGTGAGTGGTGACGCGGCGCGTGCACCGCGCGACGCGAGGTGGCCCGCCTCTCGAACGAGAACCGCCGTGGTGTTATGCACTTTTAATGCTGTATACTATGTTTATAGTATGTATTATGTTAAAAGTGTATTTTGTATATATTTTTTTGATAGAGCAATAGCGTCCATGGATTTTACTGCGCTTTCAAAAAGGTAATACTATAGTCTATGAACAATAAGAAATAGTGTCCATGGACGTTATTTCTGCTGCGCCTTTTTACACGTCAGCATAAAGCTTGCATGAATCTTAACATTTCTGACATTAATTCACTTTTCAATTGTTTATTTTTGACCGACCAGAGAGTGGTGTTTTTTGAAAAATTTTATTAATAATGAGTTCAGCACAACAAAAACTTTCCAAACAACCACACTCCATAACTGTCAAAATGCACAAAACCCGTACAAATGTACAAATCGTGTGATCAGTACGAATGGAAATTTTAATAGCGAGGTTTTAGTTTTTTAAACTATAATTTTATTCTTCTTTGTTTCTTTTTTTCAGTAACTGAGCTAGACTTCAATGCCTTCAATATTTTGCGGTAGTCTTTTCAGCGCAAATAATAAGACCCTGTTCACATGACGGGAGCTAAACGCGCGTTTATAACTACACATATTTCGTTTCATTTTACACAACATGGTAACATGACCGTGCAAAAACTGGGACTTTAAGTACTAGTATAGGACCACGCTACCTAGTAACCAACACCAGTAACCAACACCAGTAACCAAAATGGTGCAAATATATGGAGAAAATATGGTTCCATTAACGTTGTGATGTCATTGGACCTGACCATCTGTGGTCCAACGCTGCATAACATGGCATCACCTAGACAACTACTCCTTTTCGACCATGGCACATTCGGCAACCGAATCATATTGCCGGTCGGCCACGAAGGGGTGGGGTTCAACACATATATCAGATTTTTACGTTTGAAGTGGTCCAGGTCAGCATAACAAGTTACTAGTATGCAACCTGGTCCTTTTGCTCTTACTTAAAAACTACGATCCAGTGGTCCTCAAATTTTTGCAGGGGAGTTACGCGAAAGTAAATTGGTGTTGGTGTTACTATTTATTAAAACGCGTGCTACTCTTCCACTCGAGCAGTTGGAACTTGTATACGTCACATTATATTAACCTTGGTGAAGCAATTGGAGCGTATATTATTTGCATTATATCGACTTTGTCGTCTTAAGCAGCCATGAAGAACAAGGTACTTAGGAATAACAGTGAAGGAAATATTTCCGAAACTAAATTTGCCTTAGTATTGGGTTTCGATACTAGCATTTGTTTTTCGATACCCTGCAAAAATTGGGACTAGGTTAAATACTAGTACGGGACCACACTACCTCTTAACCAACACTAGTAACGAAAATGGTCCAAGTATATGGAGAAAATATGGTAACATTAACATTGCGATGTCATTGGACCTGACCACCTCTGGTCCAACTCTGCATAACATGGGACCACTGCTGGTCCACCCCTGCATAACATGGAACCACCTAGACAACTACTCCTTTTGGATCATGGCACATTCGGCAGCCGAATCATGTTGTCGACGGGGCACGAATAGGTGGTTCTTAACACATATTTTACGTTTGAAGTGGTCCAGGTAAGCATAACAAGTTACTAGTATGCAACCTGGTCCTTTTGAAAATACTTTAAAACTACGACCCAGTGGACCACCTGGTCCTCAAATTATTATACATATATATGCGCCATATCAAAACACCTCCCGTGGGTCCGCCACTGACTGGAACGTAGTTTAACCCCCAAACCCCTCAATACTTGGTTCAAAAGTACCGATACCAAAGTTACTTGGTATCGAACGAAAGTTATGAACTTGTATTTACTCTATCGATTCATCCCTATATAGAAGTGAAATATTTAAGTGTGGGATGTTTGCAATGTCGCTTATGTTCTCAAAATTCTTATGATACTGGCTTTCACACGACGCTCGTAGTCAAGGAAATTTTGTAGACGTTACGTCGCGCAGTGGTCGGAGAAGCCACGTTTTACGCGAAAAATTAGAAGGGCTGTTCTGATTATAATAATACTGTAGGATCGTAGTATTTTTGTAACGCTTAATCCGAATATACCATAAAATGTATAGTTTGACAGTTGACAGCTGTCACATCAACTGCTAATTTCTCTAAAATTAAGAAAATGTGTTTGAAAATACCACTGATAAAGGTTTTGGGTACGCTAGTCACGAACTTTATCGCTGTTCGTTTTTCTAAAGATAAAAACTATTTTTTAAAATGCTACTGACAAAGGTTTTAGATACGCTAGTCACGAATTTTATGTCAAATCGAAACGTTAAGGGTTGACAGCTCTCGAATGGGCTGTCAATTACTCTAGAAATAAGGAGAATTTCCCAAGACTTAAACTTGCTAGGTTTTAAGGCTCACTGATCTACGAGTTTTATATTACATTCAAACTTTTTCAGTTGACAACATATTTTTGATTAAAATAAAAATACTGATAAAAATAAAATTTTTCATAAAAACAGGATTGAAATCTTGAAATTCCTGCCCGTAGTTTGTTTGTAAGTCAAATATGAGTGGCATTGTGCTACTATGATAGCACGGCCGAGTAATCATATCCAACTTATGTACAGTAGTCCAAAATATTATAGCCGCACCAAATTTTGACAAGTTTTAAAATATTATTTTTGCTGTTATTTAATTTCGGTTAGTTTTTTTATAGTTCGTTCTTTACCAGCAACCGTATAAATACAAGTTTAAAGGCAGTGTCACACGATTGGGTATTTGCTAAAATTTGGTGTAAATCGTATCCCAATTGTTTGAACACCCAAAATATTTTTCACTATCCCAATCACGAAAATTAATTTATTGAAATTTTTATTTATTGAAAATATCCCACTTTTTTCCCCCAATAGCCTAATATAAAAATTTACAAATCTGTACAAATGTACCAATCGAGTGACACTGCCTTAAAAATTTATGGAATAAAAAAAATTCTATAAATTTTCGTTAAAATTTCGAGTTTTTTAATTGTAGCCCATTGAATTCTAGTAGAGTAAAGTACACGTTTCAAATGGCTAAAAATGTCGATTGATTTTTTAGAATTTTTAACAGTTCGAAATTTTTACGAAAGTTTGTTGAATTTTTTTTTAATATTGCACAAATGAGTAGTCCACTTGCAAACAGCGTTATGTGATTTTATAATAGTGAGCCATAATTTAAAAAACGTCTACAACAACAAGTAACATCCAAATTGTATATTTCTCTTTATTATCTGAAAATTTGGATAAACAAGAGCCTAATAACACTAAAAAACAATATGACAATGTTGTAGTTTTTGCAAATTTTATATATAAAAATTTAATATAGCGAGTTTTGAAACAGTAACTTTTACATAGCTATGTTTTTTTTTGCTTTTCGCAAATGAAGATTGGTATGCTTCTTTTTTACGACGCCTTCCCCTAGCCACTGAAACTACCACGTTTTCTTGCAGTTTTCTAAGTTGATCAGAAGATGGAGACTTTTGAAAGTGTATAAATAAGTATTATAGCGACTTTTGCAATAGTAGTTAACATTTGATGCTATTTTTTCAGAAAATAGAAAGATTTTGCACTGTTTTGTTAGTGGACATGAAACTACTTTTAATACCGGTACGTTACTCACCAAAAACTAAAAATCTAAAAAAATTTACATAGCGCCTTTGCAAGTGGACTGCTCAAATTTGGAAACATGGATTTCCACGGGTTTTGTTAAAGAACGAACTATATTTTTATTTAAATATACAACAAAAGTTCAATAACAACAAATATAATACGATAAAACTTGGCAAAAAGTGGTTCGGTTATAATTTTTTGACCACTGTATGTATTTTTTTTATATCTTTAATTGGACCTTCACATTCTACATAAAGGAAGTACATAACAAAATTTAAAAAATATATGCCTTTTTTGCCTTTTTCAAGTTTAAGTGCCTTAAAAACCAGAACCCCCACATCCCCCGCCCCTCTTTTCGGCGCCAGTATACGCGGACCACTTGCATTCTTCTTCTTCTTCTTAATTGGCGCTGTAACCGCCTAAGCGATTTTGGCCGAGTCCAAAACAGCACGCCAGTCATTTCTCTTCTGTGCTAACTGACGCCAATTGAAAATGCCAAGTGAAGCCAAGTCCTTCTCCACCTGGTCTTTCCAACGCAGATGAGGCCTTCCTCTTCCTCTGTTACCAGCATCGCGGCCCGCGTTGAATATTTTCAGAGCAGGAGCGTTTCTGTCCATCCGAACGACATGGCCAAGCCGCGGAGCCGCTGAATTTAAATTCGCTGCACTATGTCTATACCGTTGTAAAGCTCAAACAGCTCATCGTTAAATCGTCTGCGATATTCGCCATCACCAACGCGTAAAGGTCCGTAAATCTTTCGCAGAATCTTTCTCTCGAAAACTCCAAGAGCCGCCTTATCAGATGCTTTCATTGTCCATGCTTCCGCGCCATACACCAGCACAGGCATGATGAGTGACTTATAGAGTGTGATCTTTGTACGATGAGAGAGGACTTTACTTCTCAATTGCCTACTCAGCCCAAAGTAGCACTTGTTGGAAAGAGTGATTCTCCGTTGGATTTCAAGGCTGACATTATTATTGGTGTTAATGCTGGTTCCCAAATAAACGAAGTCGTCTACTTTTTCAAATTTGTAACTGTCAACAGTGACGTGGGTGCCAAGACGCGTATGCTCTGACTGTTTGTGTGATGACAGGAGATACTTCGTTTTGTCCTCGTTCACCACCAGACCCATTCGCTTTGCTTCTTTATCCAATCCCGAGAAGGCAGAACAGACGTAGCCCATGTTTTTACCGATAATGTCGATGTCGTCGGCATACGCCAGCAATTGTACGCTCTTATAAAGTATTGTGCCTGAGCGGTTCAGTTCTGCGGCTCTTATTATCTTCTCCAACATAAGATTAAAGAAATCACACGAGAGGGAGTCTCGCAGGTCTTTTCCAAGATTTGGCGTATTGTGAATACCTGATCTATGGTGGATTTTCCAGGCCTAAAGCCACACTGATAAGGTCCAATCAGCTCGTTGACGGTGGGCTTCAGTCTTTCGCACAATACGCTCGATAAGACCTTGTAACCTATGCTTAGAAGGCTAATTCCGCGGTAGTTGGCGCGTATGGCGGGGTCGCCTTTCTTGTGGATTGGGCAGAGCACACTTAAATTCCAGTCGTCGGGCATGCGTTCATATGACCATATTCTGCATACGAGCTGATGCATGCACCTAATCAGCTCTTCGCCGCCGTACTTGAATAGCTCGGCTGGCAGGCCGTCAGCTCCAGCAGCTTTGTTGTTTTTCAACCGCGTAATCGCTATACGTACCTCGTCATAGTCAGGCGGTGGGACAGCTACTCCATCATCATCGACTGGGGACTCGGGTTCGTCTTCCTCACTACTTTCAGCGCTGCTACCATTCGGTAGGTTATAAAAGTGTTCCCTCCACAATTTAAGTATATTCTGGACATCGGTCACTAGGTTCGCCCCGGTCTTGAAACCTTCCGTAAGTCGCCTAACCCTCTGGTAGAATTTTCGGGCGTTCTTCCTGCCGGCCAGCATCTCAAGCTCTTCGCACTCACGTATTTCGGCCTCTCTCTCCTTATTGCGGCAAATACGTCTCGCTTCCTTCTTCAGTTCCCTATAACGGTCCTACATGGCTCGCGTTGCGCCCGATCGCAGCGTGGCCCTGTAGGCGGCATCTTTTTTCTCTGCGGCTTCTTGACATTCCCCATCGTACCAGTTGTTCTTTCGGGCTCGCTGAAATCCAACTACTTCTTCGGCGGCGGTACTTAATGATCGGGAAATGTGGTTCCACTGCTCGCGTACGTCGGATTGTTGAAGAGTGCTCTCAGAGAGCAGGTGTGTGAGTCGAGTTGTGAATAAATTGGCCGTCTGTTGTGATGGCAGCTTTTCGACGTTAAACTTTCCTTGCATTGTTGGGCACACATTTTTTGCCGCACAGAGGCGGGTGCGTATCTTGGCTACAACAAGATAGTGGTCCGAGTCGATGTTTGGTCCTCGGAGTGTACGTACGTCCAAAACGATTGAAGCATGCCTTCCGTCTATCACAACATGATCGATTTGGTTTCTCGTTTTTCGATCTGGAGACAGCCATGTAGCTTGGTGGATGTTCTTATGCTGAAACCTTGTACTACATATTACCATATTTCGGGCCCCGGCGAAGTCGATCAGCCTCAGTCCGTTATCGGACGTTTCGTCGTGGAGGCTGAATTTTCTGACAGTGGCGCCAAAGATCCCTTCCTTGCCCACCTTGGCATTAAAATCGCCAAGCACGATTTTGACATCGTGTCGGGGGCAGCGCTCATATGTACGTTCCAAGCGCTCATAGAAGAGATCCTTGGACGCCTCATCCTTCTCTTCCGTCGGGGCATGGGCGCAGATGAGAGAAATGTTGAAGATTCTAGCATTGATGCGGATTGTGGCTAGACGTTCGTCCACCGGGGTGAGCGCCAGTACTCGGCGACGGAGTCTCTCTCCTACCATGAATCCAACACCGAATTTGCACTCCTTTACGTGGCAACTGTAGTAGACGTCGCAAGGCTTCACGCTTACTTTACCTTGCCCCGTCCATCGCATTTCTTGGATGGCGGTGATGTCAGCCTTTGTCTTCCCGAGGACA